TTTAGACCCAGTGCTGTGGAAGGGCGCGGACTTGTGCGGTGTTACCCCCTCGACGGGGGCTATCTCCCCTGGACTAGCCCAGGGAGGGAGAGGCGGAGGAGGGTAGTAGTCTCAGGAGGCTGTTTGGCGTCTTGTGGTGTGAGCTCTTTGCGCTCTTTTTTGCGTGAGGATTTTTGAGCTTGGTGACCTCCCCAGCCCGGGAAGACTCGTCGGGCTCCCGGTCGCCCAAGTCCTGGTAGCGAGCTCTCTGAGATGCTCGGTTCGTTCGGTCGGCAGGAAGAGCCCCCCAGTTGCGACTTCGTTTATGTTAGGAGACCAACGGGCATAGATCCCGTCTAGTTGGAGCGCCAAACAAGCGCTGTTGCGTGCCGGCCGTCGTTTCCCGTGCGGCCTGACCCGGGGGCGGAGTGCATGAGACTAACCAGCCGTATGCACCCGCCCCCCGCGCTGTGCTTCGGCCCTGGGCCCCCGGCTTTTCAGCCCACAGTGTAATCAACGTCATACATACATACATACATACATACATACATACATACATACATACATACATACATACATACATACATACATACATACAAACATACATACATACATACATACATACGTACATACATACATACATACATACATACATACATACATACATACATACATACATACATACATACATACATACATACATACATGCATGTGTAATCAATGTCATACATACATACATACATGCATGCATATGCGGTCCAACCCCATAAGGAAAGTGCAGCTGCAGCTCCAGCGGCGGGGACGGCAGCACGTCCTGCCTGCCATAGCCACGAACGCATTCGCCACAATCATTGCTTCGTAATCGGCAGGCCCCTTTCCATATAGTATCGGAACGTCATCTGGATTAGCGCCTCACACAGCGCCTCGCGACCCGCGGGGTGCACTGGGTTGCTGGAAGACCGCGGTGCAGGTGCAGCAGCCAGCATTTTACCTGCGCTTGGAAGGTTTGCTGCAACGGAGGCCCCACCCTGGGGCCATTCACCTCCCAGTCGCGGGCCTCTAGCTGACTCTCCTGATGCAGAGGAAATGGAGACAGGAGCGCGCGGCGGTTGTGGTGGCAGTTGCAGCGGCCGCTGCTGCGGTGGACATACCGTACACAGCAAACTATGATGCGGCAGCACATTACCATCGCTGACCACCGCATCATCACGGTGCAAGGACGCCGCAGCAAAGCGGCTTCTGAGGGCTGCCTGAGGGCTGAATCGCTGCACGTCCGTTGGAACGGCCGGCCTAGTAGTATTTACTGGGGTCGCAGCAGCGGCAGCAGTTCTAGTAGCCGTTACAGCAACAGGAGTAGCAGCAGCAGCTGCTGCTGCTGCTGCTGCCCCTTGCCGTTCCTGCAGTGCATGAAGAGTTGCGCGATCCAGTACCACCCAGAGCTCTTCCTCTGGCGGCACACTTCCCCGGGAGCCCTCCCTCCGCCACTCCCGCACGGGATCCTGCTCATGCTTCTCCTCCTCCTCCTCCTGGTCCTCCTGCTGCTGCTGCTGCTGCTGCCGCCCTCGTTGTGGATGCTGTCGGTGTCGCTGCTGCTGCTGCTGCTGCCGGCATATGTCCTCAAGCACCGCACATCCATCCCCCGCATCCCCGCTGCAACTTCCTGCATAGCCGAACGTGAGCCGTGCCGTGCCAGGTAGCTGCTTCACACGCGCCATCTCCAGCTGCAGCTGCAACGCCCCATCCAGTTCTTTGTCCTCTGCCCCCTTCTCTTCTTGTTCCAAGTTCAAAACCATTCCATGGTTATCGTTGGGAGGTGCAGCAAATGCAGCAACACGGTCGATCCACAGCCCACCCCGCCCGCTGGTATCTCTAGGGGCCCGATAGGAGCCGGTCTGGGCAGGAGACGCGGCAGCCAAGCGCCGTCGCATGCCGTCCGTACTGGTGCTGGCTGCGGCCTCACGAAAGCCCGTCGCTGCCGCCACGGGCTCCACGGCACAAACCTGTGCAACGATGCAGCAGAGACGTAGCAGCAGCAGCAGCAGCTTGGGTTAAAGGGTTCTGCTTAGTTTACACTAAAATTACACTGGACAATACAGTATTGTTAATAGGGTCTAGTAAACTAGACCCTATAACAACAATACAGAGTTTGTCTCTAGTACCAACCCTCGACAGAAAGGGTAGGAGGGTAGGCATCTTACCTTTGCTGCAGGATGGTTTGGCTGTATGGGGTCGTAGAGTGGCGCACCCGTAAAGGTTCGAATGGGCCGTACGTACGGCACCGTACCATCTTTGGACCCTGTCTCAGTCGCAAGGTGATCCAATTGAAGCGCCGCCTGTCGGGCTGCAACACCTGGCGGCCGGGCCGTGCCACACGGCATCTCCTGACAGGGGTGCCCCGCCGTGGCGGCCACAGCTGCTGCGGTTCCTTCCGCTGCGGTTGCTGCCGTACCTCCTGGACTGGTAGAT